AAATGTAAAGGTAGACGTTTTATAGCAAGGAAGGGAGTGATTAACTTTCCAGTCTGGGAGCGGAGGTCCCTAGGACCATCAATGGAGAAGAGCGCAGAAAGTGACCCTACCCAGAGAAGCAGTGATGCCTGAGATGGAGGCAGAGAAGATGACATGGAGCAAGGGAGCAGCTGGGGACTTTAGATCCAGAGAGGGAGAGCGACTCTCTGGTTGGTTGATGATGCATGGAGGGGATTGTAACCATGGCAATGAGAAAATATACGATAGAATGAATGTAAAACTAATGTTCTCCCATGTAAACTATCATATAATTCACAATAAAACATTTTTTAAAATGTAATATAAAAATGATACAAGTGACTATGATAACATATTCACAATTTCAGAGTCAAGACTAGAGAGAAATTTAGTTGCAACATTTATTTTGATTGTGAAGCACTTTATTCAAAGACATCCTATCAACCAAGACAATCTTATTCACTCCCATGGAGTCGCGACTCTCGGTACCCTACTTCAGAAGGTAAGCCAGTCTGATATCATGTAGATATTGCTGATGATTGTATTTAGCAGTTGGTGTTGGTTTTTTTCTTTTACTAAATAAATGGATTTTTGAAACTTTCGTTTAGTATAGTTTAAGCTATATTTGTGGGTATAATTTGTTTCACAGGAAACTTAAAAAAACTCATATTCAATCACTTGGTGCAAGAATGACTTATTTTAGGTGTAGAACCTTTGATACTCATACAGGACCATACTGTTAGTATTGGTATGTGGATTGTTTGATACATTTAAATCTGTATTTTACAAATATGACATGGGAAAAATATGTTCTAGCACTTTACATCAGAAAAAATTACTTTTAAGTTGTTTGTATTTTTCTAACCCAAATTTTTATATTTAGTAGATAGTTTGAATTAATTAAAATTATACTTTAATATCAATTATTTCAACTGAACTTTACACAAGTTTCTCTGTTTTGATTTAAGGTGCCAACTACCTTGATGGATGTGAATGTATTGATGGCAATCCAAATATTAATTGAGCAGGTGTCTTTAGAGAAGAATATGCAGCTCTTGCAACATATGTATCAGTATTTACTCTTTGACTTTCGTATTTGGAACCGTGGAGATTTTCCTTTACGAATTGGTGAGATCAGGCTGTTACATGAAATTTTATGGTTGTTGTAGAAATTTAGAACTATCTGTGTGACATTTTTATGCATATCATTTAAGAATGCACTTTCTGTTTTAGGTCATATACAATATCTTTCCACCATCATCAAAGACAGCAGGAGAGTTTTTCGAAAGAAATATGGCGTTCAGTTTCTCCTCGATACACTTAGGATTTATTATGGGTATGATGTTCATGCGCCTCCTCAGTTTGATAATGTTTTCTATCAGCTACTGGATTGGAACATGTAGATTGTTTCTTTTCCAGCACTTCTAATATCCCTTAGCTTCACAGAGGCAAGATAGTTTGGAAATTAAGATAATGAAAAATTGACCACATAGATTGGATTTGAATCTTGTGTTCTGTTATTTGTATAGCCATCGCCAAGTTACTCATTGGTTTCTCTGTGCTCAAGTTTCATCATCTGTGACGAAGAAATAAATAATACCTATGGTGGTTTTCGGGAGTTAATTATGTTAGTATGTGTGAAGTATTTAGAAACTGTCCCTGCCACTTAGTAAGTGTTGTGTAAATGTGTAAGATGTATTCTTATTTTTAATGTTTTATTTCTGAAACTTAACTTTAGAAAACTTTCCTTAAAAAGAAGCCAAAGAGATCATGGAATTCTGACAATTATACAGATAGATCTATTTTTTATATATGAAGTCTTTCTTATTTAAAAAAAAATGTAAAAATTAAAAATTTTAATTCTTGGTCTTTGGCTTTCATTTTCAGGAGTGGTTGTAAATATAATGAACTGTCTGTAGATGATATTCGAACTATAAGAACATCTTTGTATGGATTAATTAAATATTTTCTGAGCAAAGGTGGAACTCATGAAGAGATACAAAGTATTATGGGTTACATAGCTGCTACCAATGAAGAAGAACAGGTATTATGCATAAGATAAATTAATTTTTTTTCTTTTTAACATTTTAGCCACTATCACATTTTCTAATAAACATGTATTTCTTTAATCAGTATGTTGAACATTTTAAGAATAAAAAGAAGTGTCAAGTACTAATATTATGTAGTTAATGAAATTTTAGGTACTTAACTGAAATTTTAGATAATATAATACATGCCTTTTTCTTGCAATTATGGCTTATTTTTATAGCTCACATTGTATTTTTATCATTATCATCAAAGTTACTAGACAGATTTGTAATTTAAATTTTAGCATAACCTAGTTCTATAAAAATTTTGCATAAAGACTAAATTGTAAAAATATTTCTATTTTAAAAGTACTTTCACATACTGCAAAATAATGACACCAACTAATCCTCCCATAGCACTCACTACTAAACTGGGTTCAGTCATTTATTGCCATGGCCACACAGAACTCAAACACCATATTCACAGTTATGGAGTTTATTAGCGAAGTTACCAGGTTACAATTAAGGGTCAGAAATTTTCAGGGTACAGTTGTTTCTGTCAGGATAGCCTCCCCACAGCCATTGCCATAGGCAGGTGTCTCTCTGCATGGTCACTCTTGTAGGGCTGCTGATATATACCCACAAGACTCACCCCTCTACCATAAACCTTGTCCTGAAGACATGCAACTCTAGCTCCCCCAATTAGGTGCCTGAAGGCAGCCCACCGTGAAAGCAGCCTCCTGCTCAAAGCCTCTCAGCTTTATTTGCTCCATGGGCTGGGAAGCACACTGCTATGTCTTGTGCTGTGGCTTTTGATTCTATTGCTGTTGTTCCTCCTCTGCCATAGTTTTCTGTACATGGGTCAAGGAAGTTCAATGCATAGGGATTTGGGGGTCCAAAGAATGCACTCTACTCCTGGCTTCTCTTCTTGATCATAGTGAGATCCCACCTCTTGCTTCTGAAATGGCTCAGTTTAAACCCATGCTAGTATGTAAAGGGTTTACAATTAAAATTAGTTCTGTTAACATCCACAGATGAGCCATGCCATCCTCTCAGTATCTTCTCCCACCATCTCTTACCCAGATGTATCATGAGAAAGTCATTTGTTGGGAGTTTACAAAGACTATGGTTAGACGAGACATTTAATAATTCACTAAACCACATATACATTATCTTATTTAATACTTAAAACTCCTTTTAAGATGAGTAATTTTCAATGTGTAATCTCTGGCAGCTTTACCTAGGAACTTGATAGACATGCAAGTATGTGTTCCCCATCTTTATATCTACTGAATCAAACCCTTCAGGGCATTCTGATGCACAGTAAAAGTAAGCAACCACTGTTGTACAGTATTCAGAGTAACAAGTACTCTTCCTTTTTACACATTTGGAAATAAAGGTATTTACAGAGACAATATGACTTAGAAAATCATGAGACACAGGTAATAAACCTGAAACTGGAACCCAAGAGTATTTACTCTTTATGTGATCTTTCTGTGCACCACTTTCAACATCATAAATTTGGGCCACCTTAATTTATGTTGACAAAATAGTTTACCACCTTAACATCATGTACTAATCATTGTGTTCTTAATATTTACATGATGTTAAGGTGGAAAAAAATTTTAGTCAGCATAGTTGTGTTGTATAGCTGGATTTAGTAGGCTGTTTTAATGTAAGGTTGGAAAGTGTAGGCAAATGAGTAGCCATTTTACTTGCTAATTGCTGCATTGCCTTATTTGTTGGCAATGATATGTTCTGTATCAATTCAGTAAAAAAAGTTTTTTGTTGAGAATTTATATAAACAGAATTATACTATTAGTTGCAGGCAATACAATGATAGATGGGTTATCATTCTTCTTCTTAGCCTGTTGGGAACCAGGGTCAGTAAGAGAGGTTTACAAATAACTATGAATCAAAGAGGATGAAGTGGCGCTGTGGGTTAATGCTCCAGACTTGCAGAGCCGTTTGAACTGCAAGGTTGGCGGCTCAGGCTCACCAGCTGCTCCTTGAAAACCCTATACAGGGTCGCTATGGGTCAGAATCGACTCAACGGCACTTAACAACAATGACAACATAGGAGGAATACAAAGTATTACTCTCTATGTGGGAGAACTGGGTTCAATCTCAGGCCAAATCACCCAAAGCACAATTACCACCAATCTGACAATGGAGGGTTATGTTTTGCTATGATGCTTATATGTTCAGTGGAACATCTAGAATAAGACAGACTAGGAAGAAAGGCTTGGCAATAGACTTCCCAAAAAACTTAAAATGAGCACTCTATAAATTAATTATAGCAGTCCGATCTCACTGTGTATGAAGTCATCCTGAGTTGGGACTGACTTAGCACCTAACAACAACAGCAACATGAGATTGCCATAGGGCAATAAAACATTTTAAGGAGCCCAGTAAAGGCTGTTTGAAAGCGATGGCTTTTCATATGTACAAAACAAGGCAGATATAGTTTTACCAGGTAAAAGATATAGAAAAAGCCAAAAGTCTGTTGGAAGGAAAAGATAGGGTTGTTTCAGAAGGTATCAGTCTAGTTAAGCTGGACATTAGGATGTATTCAATACCAAACCAAACCAGTTGCATTAAGTTGATTCCAACTCATGATGATCTGATATGTTAGAGTGGAACTATTAACCAAAGGATTTTCATTGACTTTTATTTTGAAGGTAAATTGCCACCTTAATTTCTTTTGAGGTGCCTCTGGCTGTAATTCAACCCCACTTTTTTAGTTAGTGGGGAATGTGTCACCCAGGGAATCATTATGGTATGAGTTGAATAAGTGTTTTGTTTATTCTTATAAAGCTTGTGGCTTTATTTGTACTATGTATCTGAGTGTGATTACTTGTTCCGTGTTATTAAATTTTAAAAGCTCTTTGGAATTTTGGATGTACTCTTCAGTCTCCTACGTACCAGCCCAACTAGAGGTCAACTTTTCTTACTGCTGTTTGAACCAGGAAATGCTGATATACTTTATGCCTTGCTTTTGAATCAGAAGTACTCTGATAGACTAAGAGAAATCATTTTTAAGGTACATTTCTTAAACATCCTAATAGTTTGGAATATTAGTAGATATATGAGTATACTTACAACATTCCTATTCTAAGAATATAAAATGTTTTCTTGTTTACTTTTAATTTTAAGTTAATGCATTTTTTTCCTATTTTAGTACATTAGTTGTTTAGAGTCATATAGTTATTTGTATATTAAAAAAATAACTAAATGTATTGCATTCTAATAATTCATATAAAGTCTACTGTGTAATGCTATCCTCAAGGTAAAGTCTTCTCATCTTCTATTTTTAATTTAAGGTGTATCTAGATAGAAATTCAGAACATTTTAGCAGTTAATAAAGACAATCAGTAACAGTTATGTGGCACTCATATATATCAGGCAATTTTCATATATTGACTTATTTAATACTTGGAACAACTTTAAGAAGTTAGTTTTATTTTTAGTTTCGTTTTACAGCTGTAGAAACTGAGACTAGAGAGATTAATAACTTCTCCAAGAGTCTGTTGTTGCTAAGTACCGTGGAGTTGGTTCCGACTCACATTGACCCTACACAGGGTTTCCGAGGCTATAATTCTTTATGGGAGCAGAAAGCCTCATCTTTCTCCCCCAGAACAGCTGGTAGTTTCGAACTGCCGACCTTGAGGTTAGCAGCCCAATTCATAACCACTAGACTACCAGAGCTCCTTTTACATAGATCCTCGCCAAGGATATAGAACCTACTTTATTAAGTTATCCAAAATAATTGCTCTGAACTAGAACTCAGCTCACTTTTACGTTAACTACAAGTAGATGAGTCAGTCATATTTCTGCGGCCAAATGTACTGATATTTTTCCCCATGATTTATTTTCCTGGTCAGTATGCTTAATTGTTTTGTGACTGTTATTTCCCCTTACATTCTTAGAGTTATATTGTAGTGTATACTAACAGAATCCTGTTTGGGTTACCTGTGTTTGGTATTTCTAAACTTCCAAAAAAAAAAAAATGGGTTAGTAACAGATATCTAGCATAGTCTTTCATTTTAAGTACTGATTGTGGTGACTTATGCTGATGTGTGTGGCACTATAAGTTAAACACTGGACTGCTACCCACAAAGTTGACAGTCCAAACCTACTAGCCATTCCTCAAAACCATATACAGGGTCGCTTTGAGTTGGAACCAACTTGAAGGCACTTAACAACAATGCTGCTCTTTAGAACATCTGCCTATACAAAGGAACTTTTATAGAGATTTTTATTTCTCCATAACAACTTTGAAGGGTTAATAATACTTGGCATTATTCTAATCAAGTAACCTTTTCATGTAGTGTTTCAGTATCTCACATTAAATCTCACCTAAGGATATGGGACCACTGATTTTACCCTCTGTATTATTAGCATTGGTGTTTTTTCAAGAAATGTTTCCTTATCCTTACATATTATGTTGTTGACTGCTACATTAATGCATTACTTAGTTAACTCAGAGTGTTTTATAGACAAATGTTTGTATATCTTGAAAGCTATAAGGTTTGTTTGTAAGTTTTAGCCATAAAGAAGCAAATCTTAAAATTATTCCTATCCTCTTCCTGTGAGAAATATATGTAACCTAGAATTTTAGACATAATAATTATTTAATTTTGTATCTCAATGGCAATTCATAGACTAACTTTTTTAAAATATGTGTGGCATAGAGTGTCCTTCCTGTTACTAGTTTGTTGGTGGTATTTTTGTGTTTTTTTTTTTTTAATTTGACAAATTAAATGATGTTCCAAAAACATTGTAAATTAATATTTTGTTTACTATTCACCTAAGTAATAAACTGTTTTTAGTTCTGTTTATTGAGAAGAGTGTGTTACTTGTAACCAGGTTATAGAACAAATGTTGAAATGCACGAATGTTTATGAAAGAAGTAAACAGCGTATTCGACTCAGAGAAGTTGGCTACTCAGGATTGGGACTCCTTCTCAGTGAAGCACCCATTAATACTTCTCTCATTAAAAACCTCACCAATCAGATTGTAAATACAGGTACGACTAAGACTGATGATACTAGTGCATTTAAAAGGTGTTGTCAGTAGCAGAGTAATTCAGTTTGGTGGTTCTTATTTTTTTTTTCCCTAGAGTTTCCCCTACTATCACCTTAGATTGTTTTAAAAAATACCTGGTATTTGATAAAAAGCAGTATTTTCCTTGCTTAGTGTATCTAATATATCTTTGTTATTTTTCTCTCCTCAGGACATAGCACAATGGCTAGTACCTGATAGGGCTTCACTGAATGTTTTTTACTAAGTTAACAATCCACCTATCAGTTTGTCATACTGTGGTGGCTTGCTTATTGATATAATGCTGGAAGCTATGCCACCGGTATTTTAAGTACCAGTAGGGTACATTCATGGTCGACAGGTTTCAGGTGAGCTTCCAGACTAAGGCAAACTAGGAAGAAAGAGAGCCCGAATACTTCTGAATACTTACCTGAAAACCTTATAAATAGCCATGGGACACTCAGAATGTTGACTATTGAAACATGATGAATAACACCAACTATAGTGTCTGAAGATTAGCCCTTCAGATTTGAAGACACTCAGAATGCGACTGGGGAAGAGTGGCTTCCTCAGAGTAGAGTTGACCACAATGATGCAGTTGGAGTACAGCTTTCAGGACCTTCATTTGCTAATGAGGCTCAAGATGAGAAACAGCTATAAAATTCATTAATAATCAGAATATGGGATGTATGAAATATGAATCTAGAAAACTTGCAAGTTTGTCAATAATGAAATGAAACACATAAATATTGCTTTCCTAGGCGTTAATGAGCTAAACTGGACTGGTATTGTCCATTTTGAATGTGAAAATCGTGATTTACTATGTCAGGAATGACAAATTGAAGAGAAATGATGTCACATTTGTCCTCCAAAAGAGCATTTCAAGATCCAGGTGGTGAGGAGGTGTCAGGTAGATTTCAGGATAAAACAGACATTTTAAAGGAGAAAAAGATTAATAGGATATAGGGTAAACTCACAGCAAATTAACACTTCACAATATATCAGGAAAAGGAAAATCCAAGAAGAACATGGAAACATTAAAACTATGAAGAAACTGACAAGAAAAAGCACAAAAAATAAACTCAGCACAGGAAGGCATGTAGAAGAAAGAAACCAGCAGCACCACAAAGAAATAAACATAATGATAGCAATTTATTCATATGTATCAATAAGTACACAGAAAGTTAAGAGACAGAGAATGACAGAATGGATAAGAAAACAAGATCCTTCAATATGCTGTCTACAAGAGACACACTTTACATACAAACACAAAAACAGATTAAAAATTAAAGCATGGAAAAAATATACCAAGCTGACTGCAATAAAGAACAATCAGGATTGGCAATACTAATCTCTGATAAAATAAACTTTAAGGCAAGAACCAGCATAAGAGACAAATACAGACTTTATCTTATGATTAAAGAGTCAATTGAACAAGAGAACATAGCCATAATAAATACCTGTGCACCCATCGAAAAAGCCACAAAATATATAAAGCAAATTCTAATAGAATTGAAGAAAGAAATTGACAGATCTACAATGATACAAGGAGCTCTGGTAGCGTAGTGGTTACGAATCGGGCTGCGAACCTTAAGGTCAGCAGTTCGAAACTACCAGCCACTCCGCGGGAGAAAGATGAGGCTTTCTACTCCCGTAAAGATTTACACCCTTGGAAACCCTGTACAGGGTCGCTATGGGTCGGAATCGACTCGACGGCACTTCACAATCACAAAATCACACAATGATACTAGGAGATTTTAGTACACCACTTTTGAAAAAGGATAGAACAATCAGAAAGAAACTGGACAAAGACACATAGGAACTAAACACATAATCAATCAACTTGACTTCATAGATGTGTACAGAACATTCAATCCAACAATAGCACAATGTGCATTCTTTTCCAGTACACATGAAACATTCTCTAGAATAGAGCATGTGTTAGGCCACAAAGTTGTGTTGTTGTTAAGTGCCGTCGAGTCGATTCCAACCCATAGCAACCCTGTATAGGGTTTCCAAGGAACAGCTGGTGAGCTTGAACCATCGACCTTGCAGTTCAAATCGCTTTGCAGTCTGGTGCATTAACCCACAGCGCCACACCAGGACTCAAGCCCACAAAGTAGCCTCCATAAATTTAACAACTTCAAAATACTACAAAACATCTTAGATCACAGTGCTATAGCATTACAAATCAACAATAGGAAGATCAAGGAAATAAAGTCAAATACATGAAAACTGAATAACACCATGCTTATACGCTACTGGGTGGTGGTTGTAAAGTGCCATCAAGTCGGTTCTGACCCATAGCGACCCTGTATAGGGTTTCCGAGGAGCAGCTGGTGAGCTTGAACCACCGACCTTGCAGTTTAAATGACTTTGCAGTCTGGTGCATTAACCCACAGCGCCACACCAGGACTCCTAAGCTACTGGGTAGTAAAACAAATAAAAGGTGAAATTAAAAAATTCCTAGAAACAAATGAGAATGAAAGAACAATATACCAAAACCTTTGGGACACAGCAAAGACAGTGCCGAGAGGACAATTTATAGCAACAAATGCACATATCCAAGAAGAAAGAACCAAAATTAGCACTTTAGCACAACATCTCCAACAATTAGAAGACCACGAAAGTAAACCTGCAGTCACCAGAAGAAAAGAAACAATACAAATTAGAGCAGAAATAAACAAGATAGAAATCAACAAGATAAGAAGCCAGTTCTTCCTTGGCAAACCTAACTAAAGAAAAAAGGGAGAAGACACAAATACCATGCATAATAAACAACATGGTTGACGTTACAACAGAGCCAGTGGAAATAAAAAGGATGGTAACAATACTATGAAGAATAGTACTCCAACAAATTTGGAAATCTAGAGGAGATGGATACATTTTTAGAAAAATATGACCTTCCTAAACTTACAAAGAGTGAAGTAGAAAACCTGAACAGATTTGTAACATAAGAATTGATTAGGTAATCAAAAAACTTGCAAGCAAAAATAGTCCAGGCCCAGATGGCTTCACTGGTGAATTTTACCAAACATTCAGAGAACTGTCACCAATTCTACTAAACTATTCCAGAATATAGAAAGGGATGGAAATTTTCCTAATACATTATATTAAGCAAGCATAATAACCCTCATACCAAAAGTAGAAAAGGATATCACTAAAAAAAGAAAATTATAGACCAATATCCCTCATGAACATAAACATAAATATTCTCAACAAAATCCTAGACAATAGAATTCAACAACATATTAAAAAAATAATACATAATGACCAAAAAGCGTTTCAAGATCTATATTGAAGTATAATGCTGTCTGTGATAGGATAATATCTATACAATTACAAGGAAGACCAGTTAATACCATTGTTAATCAAATTTATGCACCAACCACTAAAGCTAATGATGATGAAATTGAAGAATTCTGTCAGCATTTTTCAGTCTGAAGCTCATCAACATGTAATCATAATGTATTGATAATTACTGGTGATTGGAATGCCAAGCTTGGAAACGAAGAAGGATCAGTAGTTAGAAAATATGGCCTTGGTGATAGAAATTATGTTGGAGATCACATAAAATTTTGTGAGACCAATAGCTTGTTCATTGTAAACTCTTTTTTAAACAACAAAAAGATGACTGTACACATAGACCTCACTAGAAGGCATATACAGAAATCAAATTGAATATTTTTGTGGGAAGAGATGGTGGAAAAGTTAGGCCAGAGGCAGGCTGTGAAACAGATCATTTATGTAAGTTCAGGCTGAAGTGGAAAAAAATTAAAACAAGTCTACCACATCCAAAATTTGACCTTAAATATGTACCACCTGAATTTAGAGATCATCTCAAGAACAGATCTGATGCCTTAGACAGACACTAATGACCAAAGTCCAGAAAAGTCATGGGATTAACATCAAGAACATCATACAGAAAGAAAGCAAAATGTCATTAAGAAGACAAGAAAGAAGGAAATACCAGAATGGATGGCAGAAGAGACACTTGAAACTTGCTGTCCATCATAGAGATACTAAAGCAAATAGAGAAAAAGGAAGTAAAAGAGCTGAATAGAAAGTTTAAAAGCGCAGCTTCTCAAGTGTTATTATGAAATGTGCAAAGACCTGGAGTTAGAAAAATAAAAGGGAAGAACATGCTCAGCATTTCTCAAGCTGAAAGAACCGAAGCTTCAGCTTGGCAATATTAAGGATTATGTGGTCAAAATAGACTATAGAGTCCTGATGTGGCACTATGGGTTAATGTGCCAGACTGCAAAACCGTTTGAACTGCAAGGCTGCAATTCAAGCTCACCAGCTGCCCCTTGGAAACCCTATACAGGGTCGCTATTGGTCAGAATCGACTCGACAGCACTTGACAACAAACAACAACAGCATGGGCAAAATATTGAATGATGCAGAAAGCACCAAAACAAGGTGGAAGGTATACGTAGAGTCACTGTACCAAAAAGAAATGGACGTATCACCTTATATGCATGTGAAATTTGGACAGTAAATAAAGAAAATGATAGAAAAATAGATACAATTGAATTATGGTATTGGAGAAGAATATTACAAATACCATGGATTGCCACAAGGTCAAACAAATTTGTCTTGGAAGAAGTACAGCCAGAATTCTCCATAGAAGTCAAGATGGTGAGACTTTTATCTGATACTTTGGACATTTTGTCAGAAGGAACCAGTCCTTGGAGAACGACATCATGCTTGGAAAATAGAGGTTCAGTGAAAAAAAGGAAGACTCCAACAAGAAGAATTAACACAGTGGAAGCCACAGTGAGCCCAAGCATAACAATTGTGAAGATGGTACAGGATTGGGTGGTGTTTTGTTCTGTTATGTGTAGGGTCTCTATTAGAACTGTTTTGACAGAACCAAACAATAACAAGAAAAGGACAGTAAAGTAATTATATAAGAAGATTTTCATTTTCTTTTTAAGTGGATTAATTTTTTAAAGGCAAAAATTAATACTAATTTCAGATTTATTTTGTTTGTTTCCCAAGTTTTATTTAAAATTTTTTCTAGTACTTAATTAACTACAGTGAGTAGAATTTATGCCCAGTGCTGGGAGTTCAAAACAGTATTGTCTTAACTGGTTTTAATGTCTTGATTAGATAAAACATGCACATAAAAATAAGTATTGTAAGAGCCTAGCAGTATGGATTATATGTTCAGCCAATAAAATGTAGAGAATAATTCTTTAGGTTTGGCTCAGTAGGACATCAAACTTTTTTTTTTTAACATACCTATGAATTTTGAAATGAAACAATTATTTCAGCTTTTATATAACTGGCCCACAATTACTTCTTTGATTATCTCTAGAATTTAATTTTAACTTTTTCCCACTATAGATCCTGTTATTAATTTCAAAGATCTGCTTTCTGTGGTATATATATCTCACAGAGCATGCATAAATGTCAGAGTGGTCATCTGCAGAAAGGTTAGTAAACTTTCAAGGTATATTTTTTTAATAGCAGTATTATTCTATGGATGACTTTTGGGTTGTGTGTGTTGCATATTCTTTCAGTTATTTTGCAAAAGACATAATTTTTTTAAGGTTCTTTTTTGAGATTTACTAACTATGAGAAATCAGTGTATGAACATAGCCTTCTTAGCCTCATATGATCACATGGAAATATGCCCTTTCCAAAGTCAGAAATTTATTACTAGAGAATAATTTCTTTATCAAGAATCTGCAAAGATTATGACCATTTGTAATTCATGTGACGTATTTTAGAGTTTCTAAATCTTTTTAACCTTGTTGAAAGAATTTTCTATGATTTGTTTATGAATATCTCAAAAATGACTAGCTTTTGATGTATCCATTTTAACCCTTTCCTAAATCAGTTAATATGGGAGGCCCTCAAAAAGTTAATGGAAAAGTTCCATTCACTTTTTAATTCAATTTTTCTACTAATTTTTGAAGCCCTCTTATAGTTACCCTGTAAATCCCTTCCTCACCATAACCTTTTCCTGTCTCCATTGGTAACCATTTACTGTAACATCCCATGAGCATTGATCAGTAATCATCATTATTGCTCACAGAAGCAGCAGTCTGTTATGTAGTGTTTAAAGGCTAATGTATACTGTTTACTTTCTTGTTCTTTTTTAAAATTTTGTTCCCTGATTTTGGCAAATTAATTTTCTAGAGATACATCTTTTTCTTTAATGGTTGCATAGTTTTTCATTCTGTAGCTGTTCTATAAAGTATTATTTTAGTTCTCCATTGATGAGCAGTTAGGTGTTTCCTACTTTTTGTGTTGTAAGCTGTTGAAAAAAAATTTTTTTAATGTATCAATTTGCTGATATGTGGTGATATGTGTATGTTGTTGTTGTTGTTAAGTGCCGTCAAGTCGGTTCCGACCCATAGCGACCCTGTACAGGGTTTCCGAGGCTTTAAATCTTTACAGGAGCAGAACACCTCATCTTTCTCCCGCGCAGCGGCTGATAGTTTTGAACAGCTGGCCTTAAGGTTCGCAGTCCAATTCGTAACCACTGCACGTACTATATAAAATGGATTGCTATGTCAAAGATATTCACATTTTTCATTTTGATGGGTTTTTCCCATCAAAGTAGGTATTGGTTTACATTTCCACCAACAGTGTCACAGTAACTGTTTCCTGGCAAGATCCTCAACTCTGAGAATTTGAAGCAGGTTACATAAATTGATCCTTTCCATTCAATGAGCAATTGGATAGAAACATATTTCGAAGCAGCAAGCTTCTAGTTTTTTACCTCTGATGTGTGTGGCACTATAGGATAAGCACTTGACTGCTAACCTCAAGGCAACAATTCAAACCCACCAGCCGCTCCTCAGAAACTCTGTACGGAGTGACTATGAATCAGACCTGACTCAGTGGCACTTAAAAAGAACAGGAACAACATATTTATATAAGATAGACGTAAAATATGCCTTATTTTATGGAAACTTTCAAGTTGTAAAATCATGAAATATTTTTTCCTAGGCAAAACTTACCTAGAAGAAAGAAAAATTGGTTTTTCTATGCTGATAAGTAACAGCTCACTAATAGATAGCATTACTGAAGAGAGAAACTTCACAAGTCATTGTGACTCATTGTTTTCTTTTTCCGGGACATGGAGTAGTATCATTAATATGGAAGTCCCTGCCAACCTTATTCACCTGCAGCTATGAAAATTGTCAGACTTAGAACTTTTGTTACATGGGGAGCCAAATATGAAGTTATTTTTATATTTACCCAGAAATGTATTGACTCTGTGATAAAAATGTCTTAGAGTTCTTATATGAATTTCTGATAGTTTTGGAGAACTTGTTTCATTCCCAAAATTTTGAAATCAGTTGGATAGGAGTGATAATAAATATTGCCCTGTCAAAGACTGCTCTTAATTTCAGCTTCTTATTCAGGTTAAGGAGCTCTGGTGTGGCACTGTAGGGTAAGCACTGGACTGTTAATGAAAAGATTGGTGGTTCAAACCCACCAGCTGTTCATTGGAAACCCTGTATAGCAACATTCAGACTAAACAACGGCATCCATTTTATTGAAATGGATTTTTTTCAGAATTAAAATTTACTTTTTATGATACTTGTGTTACATGTTGTTGTTATGTACCTACCGTTGAGTTGGTTCTGACTCACATCAACCTTGTATAGGGTTTCCAAGGCTGTAAATTTTTGTAGGAGCAGAAAGCATCATCTTTATCACGGGGAGAGGCTTGTGGCTTGCTTTCTAGTGCTTATCTTCTAGAGCCACCGCGTCCCCTCTGTGTTATATGGGATTAATGGAAGAAAAAAAATTTTTTTTCTGCCAAAGCTATTATTAACTTTAGGACTTTGGGAAAACAAAGAAACAGGGAAATACTACTCTGGGTATACCCAGGTGTGTATGTCCTAGTCACTTCCCTGCTCCTACTGCCTAGAATTGTGCCTAGCATGTTATAGGTGCTCAGTAATATTTACTGAACAAATGCAGTAAATTCATGGAAAGTATTCAGTTGAGAGAATATAACTTTGTTGTTCCGACTTGTAGTGACCCTGTATAGAGTTTTCAAGTAGTGGCCGATGAGTAGTTTGAACCACCGACCTTGTGGTTCAACCCAATCTTATGATGCAGTGCTTTTATCCCTCAGCGCCACACCAGGACTCCAGATATAACTTTAAACCCTTTTATATATGCCATCATTCTACTTACCGTTTCTCTATGACCAGATTAAATTATGTAAATTTCTCTGTTTATGGAGTTGAGTACTTCTTTACAATGAGTAATGTGTAGATCGGTAGTAAACACAATGTCTTCCAAATAGCTTACAACTAGTCTTTTGAAAAGTAAATCTTCCCACAGTTTCTAAGAAAATTAAGTTACATTCTTATTAAAATAACTGAAAATTTTCATGTAAAGTATGATGTACTTTTTTAAAAATTCTGTGTTCTTAATCTCTTTGCAGATTTTGCAAATTTTGCAGTCCCAGCCAGATGCAGCATATCATATATCACAGCAAGTGGGTTGGCAAGACACCTTAGTTAGACTTTTTTTAAAAGCCAGTTTTGGAAATGGAAATACTCTTAATAGAATGAAAGACAATGACAAAAATATTTCAGCTGAAGACATCAAGAGGAATTTTGATGAAAAGACAGATGAGGAAAAAATTAACACTTTTTCATCAACTAATGTGTCTTCAGACCAGTGGAGTTTGGAGGATAGACACTCCCTTGACTCAAACACACAATTATTTCTTGAAGATAGCTCTGTAGGAGAAATATCTTTCAAATCAGAGACTCAAGAAGACTTCTGGCGTAATACCACTTCACATTTGAGTTTAGATCTGAGTGGAATTGACTCATGTGAACTGAGTGAGAGTGGAAGTCAGATGCCAGACAGCCTGCCTAGCACACCATCCCCAATAGAGTCAACGAAATCATTTTCTGTGCAGTCTGACAAAGAAAGTAGCAACACAAATGATACAGGCTTTAGTGATGACTTCTCCTTATTTGAGAGCCAAGAGGTAACATTCTTTATCTGTCCATGTGTACTTTTTTTTTAGTATGTCCATTATATACTTCTAATGTGTAAGCAGTTGTTAACAGTTTCTTATGATATACATGTGCTAAATTTAATGATCTAGAAGTCACTGGATTGTAAGTGCATGTATAGCCTCAGAACCCCTATTTAGGGTCGCAATGAGTCAGAATTGACTCAATGGCAGTGGGTTTTGTTTCTGTCCTATAGGTTCACTAGAAGTTGGAATCTAATCAATAACAGTTGATAGGTATAGAACAAAGCTAGTGTACTATTTATCTTTGTGTCTCTGGGGTCTAATGAAATGCCAAGTTCATCGAGGCTTATAAAATGTGTTGAATGATTACAATCTGTATATGTAATAGAACTTATGATGTGCTTTTAGCACTTTCTCCTAATAATTGAGTATTATTGTATCTTTTTTAATAGAGATGTGAGGAGGAGCTTATTCAATTACTGACAAATATTTTGAATTATGTAATGTGTAAGGGACTAGAAAAGTCTGACGATGATACTTGGATTGAACGGGGGCAAGTGTTTTCTGCACTGACCAAACCAGGAATATCCAGTGAGCTACTTCAGCCTTCACATGAAATAAAATTTATGTAAGCATTCAGTTCGTGATTTTCCTCTTCCTTTTCGAGTGGGCAGAGCCTGAGATAATAGTTACTTAACATTTGTTTATTCTGTATCTCTTATGGGTATAGGGGGAGAAAATAGAAACTTTGTTAAGGCCTTTTTCCTATGTTGAGCTACTTGGACCTTCAGATGAAATTTAACTAGTATAAGCATTCAGATAGTGATTTTTTTACGCTCTTCCTTTTGGAGTTGGGCAAGAACCTAAAATAATAGTTGTTGTTGTTAAGTACCGTGGAGCTGGTTCCCACTCATAGTGACCCTGCACAGGGTTTCCGAGGCTATAAACCTTGACGGGAGCACTATACCTCATCTTTCTCGCGCCGAACTACTGGTAGTTTTGAACTGCTGACCTTGTGGTTGGCAGACCGACTCGTAACCACTATGCTACCAGAGCTCCTTAAAATAATAGTTACTATACATTTATTTATTCAATATGTTTTTTGTGTGTGTTTAGAGGGAGAAAGTGATCTACTGTGCTAATCCCCTTTACCTATCTTTTAACTTTTTAGTGGGATCCAAAACTAACTCCGATGTGAAGGGAATTAAATCTTAAGTTTGGTTGGGTTTTAAGTAATGACAGATTCTCTATTATTTCAATTGCCTTCAGTGGTATCTAAGGATTTGATGCATTTTGTTATGCAGGTTTGTCCAAATTTAAGTGTTTCCATGTTGAGGGCAAGGAGTAGTATTTTTGCGAAATTCTTTTAAAGCATTACACTTCCCTGAAGATGATATGGCTCTGTAACAGTAGCACCAGGGAAGAATTACTTCTTTGTTGCACATGGCTAAACACTCTGTAAAGCTTAAGAAGGCTTTCTTCCGTAGCCTTTTCAACATCTGGCTGTAAAGAAATTAGATATCTCATGGAATTTAGAATGTGAGTTATTTTCATAGCCTTTTTATAGTCAAGTGAATTACAACTTTTACCTGACCTTTAATAATAGGTATATTAAATGTAGATAGTCCAAAAATTGAAAAGTTATTCTATTGTTGTTAAATTCACCCCATAACTGCCATAGATCATATATCTTTGGAGATGCAATTCTGTTATAAATAAATAACTGTTTTCTATGTCCTATTTGTCTAAATTTATGATTATTTAAAGATGATTTTATATTATACCTAGTTTGTTACAGAAGATGTTAGAATGGGCAGTCACAGAAAACAGAGAAGTAAAAACGAATCCAGGAACTGCTGAAAATGCCTTCCGACTCATTCTGATCATACAGGACTTTCTGCAGTCAGAGGGACTAGTTAATTCAAACATGTGGACTGAAAAGGTACAATAATGTCTCTTTAAATTGATAGTTTTGGTAGTCAAAGATTTTATTCAATGTAAGAAATTTTATACCCCTCCTTTCTAGGGCATAAATATTTAATAAAGTGATACAAAAAGATGTAGTAAGTAGCAGATTTTGTTGGTATTGCTAGGATGATTCCTTTGGATGTTGCCAACTGAACTTGTGCTAGTTTTTTAGTATTTATGATTTGCATTAGTGTTGGAGAAAATGCATCATCAGTACATTAAAAAAGTGAGATTTTAATTTCTAATTTTTTTCTTTGTGGTAGCTTTTAGAGGATATAATGCTGCTCTTCGACTGTCTGTCTGTGTGGTATTCTGAAAGTCCTGAATGGGTAAAACTCTCTCAAATTCAGATCCAGTTGCTTCTAGGATTCATTGGAAAGGGTAATTTGCAGGTTTGTCAGTTCTTTTGCATTCTTTTCTATCTTTCATAAAGCATAGATGTTACTTATTTGATGATGCCTCTTTAGTGTCTTAATTTTTTCATTAGTACCAAAAATATCCTTGATTTCAGTTTGGTGAGATCAGAAAGCAATTTATTAATTATTTTCTTCTTGGTATTTATGACTCAGTATAATTTTAAGATGTGCTTTTAAAGGATTTACTTACAGCTTATATACCTCATCTCACTTGCTGACATGGTTAGGTTCCTAAGATCAGTATTATGTACAAACAGAAGATGATATCAGATTTACAAAATGAAGGGTGACTGCTTCATTATATAACTGTCAAATTACATCATTGCTTAACTACCTAACCACTGAGAATCATAGCCCAGCCAAGTTGACACATAACTGTAAACATCACAACTACTGTTACTCTAAGCTATCACTATGGTGATCGTTACTGCCAGACATGCTTTGTGAATGTGCAAAATAAGCATTTAGTAGATTATTTTACGATGGTAATAATGTGCAATGTCAGATAAAGAGATAATCGATAAGTGAGGAATAAGTTTATTGGAAAGGATTATTCATCTATATTCAGTGTAGCTAGGTGCTATACAAACTGCTTAGACTGTTAATATCTGTGCAGTTTAGGGCTTCTACTTCTAGGAAAAAGTTTTAATTGTTCATAGTCATATTCATAGATTAAATTGAAGGGTGGAGGAAAGTTTGTGGAGGGTGAAGAAGCTCTACATTTCAGAAGAGGAATTAAAAGTTTTGAGCTGCCTTATGCATTGTTTCTTGTAATGATCTCTGCTTCATCATGACTTACATGGAAAAGGCTGCCTGAGGTCTGTTATTGTTGGCTTGGTCAGCAAACACCTATACATACAGTTCATACCAGCATTGTCCTGAACTTGCAGCATAAACACAATCTGAAAATGACAGCAGGTTCTAATATTTTTTTTCTCTCTCTTGCTTTTCTTTATTTTGGAAGAAATCCAGAAGAGAAAAGGAGACACAGTAGAACACTTGTCCTGCTTTGCTTGTAAAACTTGTATCTTTTTCCTGTGTAGACAAAAGGAATCCCCTTTTGACTTAATTTACTTCTTGACATTGGGGTTTAAAGTTAAAGCTTAATAGTAATAGTAATGGGAAGTATTCCTTTGCTTGACTTTATGCTCTGATTGTGTTTTTTTTGTTGTTGGTTTATTTGTTTTTTTTTGTTTTTTGTTTTTTTTTTTTGGAACCTTAAGGGTAGTTACATTTCTGATCAAATACTATGTCTCCTGCCTACTTGTTCTTTGTGTATCGAATACTTTTGGTTCTAAGTAACAGAAAGACTAGCTCAAACTGACTTAGTTAAGTTTATTAAGTCATGTAATTGAAAATTCCATAGTGTAAATGACTTTGAGAAATGATTTAGCCAGTGTTCAATTCCATATATTTGCTGTTCTTGGAATACTTACTACTCTCAGTCATCTGTCACCCTGTCTTGAGCTGGCTTCCTTTATGGTCACCAAATGGCTACCAGCAGCAGTTGGAGTGATATGTTTCCTTATTCATCTCCAGAGAGAAAAAAAGTGCTTCTTTCCACAGTCATTATTGGCAGATGAGTTCACCCTGGGTGTCTCATATGTCTACATATTTGCAAAACAGAGGCACTAGCTGACTTGGTTATAAACTTTCTTTTTGAAGTTGTATAGTGAACAACTTTGGAAGATAGAGATAGTGCCTTCTTCCAGAGCAAAGGACTAGTTTGTTTATTGTCTATTATAGTAAAGATGGGGTCCTGGTATGGCTCTGTGGGCTAATGCACTGGACTGCAAAGTCAAGCTCACCAGCCACTCCTTGGAAACCTGTACAAGGTTGCTATGGGTCAGAACCAACATAATAAAGATAATGTCTCCCTTTGGCAACGGTCAGGTAGAATTCCTGCATGGTATGAAAGATTTGGGTTCCCTATGTACAGGGTCCCTCTCTTATAATGCAGTCATCTTCTAATCCTGTTTGAAGTTTGGGGAGCCAGCACAGATGCTAATATTATAACTACTTCTATGGCTAAGGATCTTTGTCTCTGAAGCAGGAGTTGCTTGAGATCTTCTGCCAACATCCATGAAACTGCAACAAGCTAATTTGTTAAGTTGGAAGTAAGATGAAATCAGAGAGGCTTCATAGTTCTTGGCAGTTACCATATAAAAGTTCTGAGTTTGCACTGGTAAGACCACTCCTGAATGAATCACTGTGACAGACAATGACATGGGTTAACTTACTGGAGATGAGTTAACTGAATCAATGGGTGGAATGTTCTGCTTAGCTTTTTAAAAGCTTTTGCTATAGGTAGAGAAAGGGTCATTCCCCATTTCCTGCAAACTTGTGAGAGGAGTGGTATGGATGTTGGGATGATAAATTCCCCAACACAACTTTTCTGTATATTCCAAGTTAATAAATATGTGTTACTTTGGTAATTTAAAATAAAAAAGAGCTTTAAGAGGAGCTAGACAGAAATATGATGACTACCAAATGTCTGCTCTTTTATCTAAAGTCTTACTTTGTAACCTACATTATTTTTCCTCCAGGTTTGTGCAATGGCATCAGCAAAGCTAAATACACTCCTTCAGACCAAAGTGATTGAAAATCAGAATGAGGCATGTTATATTTTAGGGAAGCTGGAAAGTGTTCTAACTCAGTCAATCAAAGATCAGACTGAAATCTACTCATTTCTGATTCCCCTTGTTCGTACCCTGGTTTCCAAAATTTATGAGCTTCTCTTCATGAACCTGCATCTACCTTCTTTGCCTCTTACCAGTGGTAGCTCTTCATTTTTTGAAGACTTTCAAGAATATTGCAGTTCAAATGAATGGCAAGTTTACATAGAAAAATATGTAAGTTTTATCATTTTTTAATAAGATTTTTTATACTAAATTATCATAGAAATATATTTTTAAATATGTGTTTTCTTTTAAAAACAAGATTGTACCTTATATGAAGCAGTATGAAATCCATACATTTTATGATGGTCATGAGAACATGGCACTTTATTGGAAAGATTGTTATGAAGCCTTAATGGTGAATATGCATAAACGAGATCGTGAAGGAGGGGAAAGCAAACTGAAATTCCAGGTAAAAATGATTAAATAATTTTAATATCATGGTTATTATTTTGATTATGGTGGTGGTTGTGTGCCACTGCGTCATGTAGGGTTTCTGAGGCTGTAAATTTTTACAAGAGAGGAAAGCCTCATCTTTCTCCTGTGGAACAACTGTTAGGTGCGAACTGCTGATTTTGTGGTTAGCTGCCCAACTCTTAACCCACTGCACTACCAAGGGTCCTTAAGTTGATTATAAGCATTTAATATTCAAATGAGAGTGATAGGAAGCCTGACGTAAATCTTAAAACAAATAGTTTTTGTTTTTGTTTTGTCAAATAGAAGTGAAAATGACTAATCAGTAATGGCTAAAATAAATTAATAGCAAAATGTTCTGTATGTGACGATTATGTAAAAAATAACTAGCTGATAGTACGTTAGTAGGTATCTCTAAGGATGGGGGTTGCTTGTGGGTATGTACCATGGAGTTTATTCCGACAGCTGGTAGTTTTGAACTGCTGACCTTGAGATTAGCAGCCCAACTCATAACCACTGCATTACCAGAGCTTCTTATAAGGATGGTAGGTACAGGGAAATTTTATAGCACAAAACACTCATATTAGAAATTTTAGTTTCCACTCTGGTAGCATAGTGCTTACGAATTAAGCTGCTAATCTCACTGTGAGCAGTTCGAAGCTACCAGCTGTTCCACGGGAGAAAGATGAGGCTCTCTGCTCCCATAAAGATTTACAGCTTCTGAAACCCTGTACAGGCTCACTATGAGTCGGAATCGACTCCATGGCACATAACAACAACAATGACAACCTTAAGCTAGAAAAAGAAAAATACTCTAAGCCCATAGCTAGATGGAATTAATAAAGAGCAGAAATCAATAAAATTGAAAACAGCACAATAGTAGAGAAAATCAGTGAAACCAAAATCTGTTTCTTCAAAATATCAATAAAATTGATAGATTTCTAGCCAGACTGACAAAGCAAAACAAGAAAAGTTAAAAAAAAAAAAAAAATCACCAGTATTGGAAATGAAAAAGGAGTATCATCGCTGATCCCACGAAATCAAAGTGATAATAGGAGAATAAAACCAATGACAACTTAGATTAAATGGATCAACTTTTTGGAAGACATAAAAATCCTAAACAAATGCAAGAATACACAAGCAACTTAAATAATCCTACATATATTAAACACATTCGTTATTTAGAACTTTATAAAAAGGAAGATTCTAGACCTAGGTGGTTTCACTGGCAAATTCTACCAGACATTTAATGAAGCAATTGCATCAGTTATTCATCATCTCTTTAGTAAATAGAAAAGGCGTGAGCACTTACCAGCTGATTTTATGACCCATACTGCACCAAAACTATACAAAGTCAGTGCTAGAAAACTGTGGACCAGTATTCCTCAGGAACATAGATGCAGATGAAATCCAGCAATATGAAGGAACTTTAAAAAGCTCCTAGAAAATTTCCATTATCTTTTAGTTCTATTTTTCCACAAACTATCTGAAGCCCCCTCATTTATAAAAAAATAATACATCAAATCAAACGGAGTTTTTCCTGGCAGTACAAGGCTGGTTTAGCATTCAAAAATCAGTCAGTCCACAGTCTAACCATTAAGCCAATAGACATGCTGTATGAAAGAACAAACAAGATGTTTTCCTCAACCATCCATTTTATTAGAGATTTGCTGATGATAAGGAAGGTGGCTTCAGGCAGATGGCCAAGTTGATATGGTGATAGCAGTGAGCTGCTATACTGTTTCCGGCTGGGAGTTTCAGATTGTTAGTTAGGGCACTCTAATACCTGTTATGGCACTCATTTTGTCAATGCTTATTGTATTCCAGGCATTGCTTTGTATGCTTCATATTAATACCTAGAATAAAAGTATTATATATTTTTTAAAAATCAGTCAGTATAATGTAGCACATTAACAGGCTTACCAAGAAAAATTACAGGATCCTATCAGCAGATGGTGGAAAAGCATGTGCCAAAATTCAGCATCATTCATGAAAGTTCTCAGCACACTAGGAATTGTTGGAAACAATCCTGCAATGCTTTCTTCCTAAGATCAGGAACAATGTAAAGATGTCCAGTCTTACCTCTCCAAGTCCATTTGTTGTTGCTGTTAGGTGCCATTGAGTCAGTATGAACTCATAGTGACCCTATGCACAACAGAATGAAACACTGCCCAATCCTGGGCCAGCCCCCTACTGTTGCCACACTTGAGCCCATTGATGCTGCCACTTTGCCAATCCATCTCACCTGGGGGTCTTCCTCTTTTTCTATGACCCTCCAGGACAGCATTATACTGTAAATCCTAGCAAATGCAATAAAAATACAAAAAGAAGTAAAAGACATTCACATTGGAAAGGAAGAACTAAAGATATCTCTGTTTGAAGATAACATGATTAACTACAGTGACAATCCCAAGGAATTTACAAAGAAGCTCCTAGAATGAATAAATGAGTGTAAAAAGGTTGTAGGACACAAGAACAATATACAACACTTAGTCTTATTCTTATACACTTGGAATGAGCAATTGAGAGCTAAAGTCGTAAAAGAAATATTATTCACAATAGTTTTAAAAAGATGAAATACTTAGATATCTAGTACAATATATATAGGAGCTGTATGCTGATGAAATATAGAAGGTGTAAACAAGTAGAGATATACTATTTGTGAATTAAATGACTCAGCAGTCTTCTTAAGTCATGTTAAGATATCAGTTCTTCCCAAATACTCCAGTGATTTAATGCATTCAAAGTCAAAGCCCTAGGATTGTTTTTGAATATAGACAAGTTTATTCTAAAATTTATATGGAACGACAAAGGACTTAGAATACAACTTTAAAAGAACAAAATTGGAAGACTTACGTTACATGATTTTAAGATGCATTATAAAGCTACATTTTTCAGAATATT